CTTCACAGAGGAGGAGACTGACTCCCAGGGACAGACAAGACTCACCCAGGGTGCGCATGAGAAGCCTGGGCCCTCCGCCTCCTCACCCCGCCTTCTCTCCATCAGGCTCTGTGTTCGGGGCTGGGGGTACGTGGATGAACAAGGCCAAGCAGGAAGGCACAGCCGCTGTCTTCTTAGCATTTAAGTGGAGAGGGAAGACAGGGTAAGGAAAAGGACCAGACAGGATGACAAGTGGTTTGAAGGACATGTGGTCCCGGTTAAGAGGGAACAGAGCCCAGGGAGTGACTCAGTCTGGCTGGGCTGATAAGGCATCTCATGGAAGATGTGGCCTGACGTCTTGAAGGATGAACAAGAACTTTCAAAGAGGTCGAACTGGGGGTGGACTGGGATTGGTGGGGAGAATATTCCGGTGGAGGGAAGAGCATGTTGTCTTGGATGAAGTGCAGGGTGGGGATAGAGAAAGAGCATGAAATGCAGTGGAAAACTCACAAAGGACCCTGAACCCCATGGTAGGGAGCTTAGCCTTCATCTTTTAGGATGAAGATGTTGGAGGGTCACTGAAGGCTTTTAGGAGGTAAGTAACACAATCGGATTTGTGTTTCGAAAGGACCAAGCCAATAAGCCATCAATGGGCTAGAAGTGAGACTGGTGGAGGGAGACAGGCTAGGGAAATATGGCAGGAATCCAGGGAGAGGACAGAAGGGCCCCCCAGACCATGTTGGGGTAGCGAGGAGGGCTGGATCAGAGAGAAAGAGCCGTTGACTGTGATGACTGTGGAAATGGGGCAGCTTTCTGGCTTAGCTGGTCAGCTCGGGGGAGGTCACACACAGCACTCCGTGGGGACCAGTGGACTAGAGCAGGCTTGGGTGTGTATGTTGTACAAGGCTGGGGAACGGTGGGATGTGAGGAGGAGGGAGGTGGTAAGTTTAGCTAGCAACACGTGACCTTGAGATTCCCACGGAGGTAGACGCAGACAGTTGGAGAGAAGGGTGTGTAGCTCAGGAGAGGGTTTCTGGGGGTGAAGCCGTGTAAATTCTGCTCCCTTTTCAAATCTGTTTAAACACGGTTCCCAGACTAACACACTGCTCAGATAAACATGGTGAGAAGATGTCTGCAGTAGCTGTTCGGTTTGAATCAGCTCTCCCCATCTTACCCACACAGGCAGAGCATCTAAAATCGAATCCAAACAGATGCAGAGTTGAGAGCAGAGGGAAGAAATATCTCAGAAGATTTTGTGATTGATTATTTGGGGCGTTGAGAGGTCAGAAGATAAGAAGATGAGGGGAAGGAAGTGATGACACCTGCCCGGCTGACTTCTCTGTTCATTACTTCCTCCTTTAATTGTCTCTTGCTCTCACTTGCTAACTTCTACTACAAAAACAGCATCCCTGTGAATGCGGCCCATCTTCCATGTCTCTCCTTTTCTTTCCGATGCCTTCCCTCACCTGTAGACTAAGACGCAGCCAGTGCAGTTCAGTCACCTCACTTGTCTGTATTTTCTCGTGGACCTTCCTTGCTTAGGTACATGAGATGGCTCCCTATTACCTCTAAAAACAAATTCTAACTCCTCTGAAGCTACTTTTAATCTGGGTCCTCCAACTTGATTTCTCTGTTTGATGAAATGCTGCGCCCACCTTTGTGACCCATTTCGTCTCGTACTTCATGAAGATAACACTCAGGTTCCGGGAAGTGCTGCCCACTAGAACTTTCTGTGATGATGGAAATATTCTCTTTCCATGTTGTCCATTACTGTGGCCATGAGCCACGTGGGCTACCGAGCACTTGAAAGGTGGCTGGTGGGACGGAGGCACTGAAATTGATTTATTGTAATTCACTGTCACAGACAAAGCCACTCACGGCAGGTGGCTGCTATTTTGCACAGTGCAGTGCTAGGGGCTTGTCCTTCCTCTGTCTGCTGGAATGAGCATGAGTCTCCCACTTCCCCAGAGTGTGCTACAAACTCTGAGCCACTGTCCTCCGACCTCCCGCTTGGCCTCCCCGGTCTGCCTGCAGCCCCCTCTGCAGCCCGCAGCCTGGCTCCGACTGCCTTCCCGAGGGCTGGGAGCGCGCGCAGCTGGTGTGCGCTGGGTGGCTCAGAGGCCAGGCTTACCGTCGTGATGATTTCAGTAGGAGAAACAGCTCCATTAATAGCAACAGATTTCTTTGTTTACTTTATCCGGGAACGAGTCACACCCACAGGGAAGAGAGACCGTTCCAAGGAACTCAGCAGGAAAGTTAGTCGAAACCAAGCTCAGCTCAGGGTCCAACTCGGAGTCTCTTCCCTGAGACCTGAATCGTCTTATGACAGGGCTGGCTGATGGGCAAGACTGAAGTGGGAGGTGGCTCTGATATGGGACAGAAAGCTCCCCTGTCTCATCTGAGCCCCAGCTGTCATCGCCCCAGTGCTGGGGCCGGGTTCCAGCAGTGCGGAGTTTGTACGGAGCCCTCCGCACGCATGGCCCAGTGCCCACAGTCACATCACGCATACAGTAGCTGTGTGGGGAAATGGGGTCCTTTCTGAAACATACAAGATGCTTAGCCAAGGCCTCGACCGTGTGCGTGCAGACAAAGGGATTGCCTCGTCACAGGGACATCAAGACCCCTCTTGGCCCAGGCTGAGAGCATCTGATTCTCAGATCTGCTCCCGCCTCTGCCAGGCCATTCTGCAGTGCCCAGATTCTTCTAGGGGGAGGTTTGGGGGTTTGCATGGGTTTTTTTGGTCCTTGTTGTTTTGCCACTACAGAGCATAACAAATTTGCCAGAGCTGACCACAGACTAGCGTCCCAGCTGCTCAGTTCTTCTGTGCTGAGCTACTTCTCTTCAGTCTACGGTTTCTGTGGGTCTCTAGGGGAAGCCTGGGTTGGGGGCAGGGGGTGCTGAGTCCTTATAGTCACCATGTGACACCTGCCTGCTCTCCCCCTCTCCTGTCCTGGCTGCCTTTGGTGGCATCACCCTAGGAACCGTGTGAAGCCTCCTCACCATGCACTTGCTAGGAGGGGGGTCCTCCCTCCCAAGTCTGATGCTGCTTCACCTGGATGCTCACAGAAGTCCCACTGGGCTGGGCTACGCAGAGGCTACCGAGATGGGGGAGACGCCCCTGCAGCTGCCAACATTCCTCACTCTTCTGTCTTCTTCTAAACTTCTGCGTGTGACCCATTCTTCTCATCTCTGCCTACAGTTTACCCTCTTTCTAGTACAAATCCAAGCCCTTCTCCCATGTTACAATCCCTGACCTAGACAGACCCAGAGATGTATACACTTCTTCAGATTCCTTCCTGCCCACTGTCTTCCTATGGTTCCTTCAGATCATGTAAGCAGTCTGAGAGTCAGCGATCAGCCCCCATAGTGGCTGTTCTTTGAGTGACAGATGGACAACCTTGAAGATAGCAGTGAACCGAGGAGCAAGAGCAAAGATAACATTCTTAACTGGCGTGCCAGTTGATATAAAGCAAACCCTTTGCAAGCTTGCTGCTAAATCGTCATCAAAATGTCAAGTTACTTTTCACTCTTAGCATGTCTGTCCAATAGGAGGTCGAATTAAGTATGTCTTGTGCCCTGGGGTACAATCTATGACTTCTCCAGTCCCTGGTGAGAGGTGAGGGGTGACTGCAAGCTGGCACCTGGGAATGAGGGTCTGTGAGGATCAGGGGAGCCTCCTTAGGGCACAGTCCTCTCCAGCAATACAGGACGACGCATGTAAATAGGGTGATAACTCTGGATACAATCAGAGTCAGTGGAAGAAAGACTTTGTAATGCTCAATAAAATTCTGGGTTTTGTAACCGTATCATGAACGTAAGTAAGGCTTGAAAACCACAGATCCAGAAGGAGATAGAAAGG